TGATGGATGGATGGATGATGGATGGATGGATGATAGATAGATAGATAGATAGATAGATAGATAGATAGATAGATAGATAGATAGATAGATAGATAGATAAAAATAAAAACACACAATGTTTTGGAATACCTCTCTGCCCAAAGGGTTACCTTTCAGCATCTTGAAAATGGTGCATAGTGTACATGTGTATGAGTTCCATCCCCTCATTAAAAAGTCCTTGTTCAAATTTCAACAGTTGTGCATTCAAAACAAAATGCCAAAAATGATGGCAGTGATAGTTACAATAATGTCTTCCATCTCCATTTACATATGTAAAGTCATTCAGGGAATAGCTCTTTCCATTTCACCTAGTTCAAAAAAATCAGCTCAAATGCATATATAGCTCTCAATTAACGGGGATCAGTTCAACAAGCAATTGAACTCAAACAACTGGGAAAAAGAGCTTTAGTACTGTGGATCCAGAGATCTGTACCTCCTGTTAATCTGGGAATGGACCAGTTCCAGAAATGTAGAAGCAGTCCTAAGGGCTCTGAGGATGGTCTGGGCCTGAAACAGATTTCTTTCACCTGGAATATTCTGTCTGGGACATCTTGCTCCAGTTTTGGTTTGGAGGATTTCTTCTGGAGACTGCTGAACCATTATTTTGGAATTGCATGGTCTGGAGAAGATTCAGTATGCTCCAGAAGGAAACACAATGTTCTAGGCTTAACTGGAATGATCTATTCCTGGATCAACACATTTTGCATATCCCTTCTTAACTCTAGAAATAGGTTAATAAAGTTATAAACCTGTAAGTATACAGGAGACACAAAGAGAGGACACACATACATACACACACAAGCATGTAATATTATATCAGGTACGTAAACAAGAAAGCATACATTGTATAGAACAGAAAATCATGCACACACTAGCACAAAGACCAGCAGACCAGTTCTAAAATAAGGACTGAAAGGAAGCAGTGTTTAACAAATATGACATGGAAGCTGGCACCAGGATATTGTATGTACACAGATTGGATGCTATATGCGTACCAACATTAAACTTGGTTGCTGACGAAAACTGGAAGTTTGGAGGCAACATTTATACTGTAGATTATAGAGATGAAAAAGAAAGCAAAAGAGAGCAGGAGTGATTTATAATGATCTATTCCAGAGATGGGGTAGAAACAAAGTCTTCACTACCTATATGTCATCCTTCAGATTCTCAGTTCCATAGTTTTCGGGAAGGGAAGGGAAGTGGGGGGAGGAGAAGGAGGAAGCCAGATTTAAGACTGCCTGAAACTTTTACTTAGAGAAGGCCTCTCTCTCTCTCTCACATGCATTCTAAATAGTGTTCTGGGAGCAATTACTGGCAAGTGCAACAAAGCAATTATCCTCAGAAGGATCACAAAGCCCTAAAGAATAAACATATCATCCTAATTAGCAAAGGCTCTTAGCTAGTAGGCACAGTGCCATCTGAAACTGTGACCTCAACGCTGGGTATACGCTACTTCAGAATTGGCATTTAGGGTTGCCCCAGTCATGAAACCAGATTCTGGATTCAGGACATGCTTTTTCAGGGGAGAGGGCATATGTTAAGGACCTCTTTGGATCAGGGAAACAGCCTCTGTGTCAAGTCCACAAAGTCCAAACCCCAATTCAGAAGAATTCTCATGAAACCAGGCCCAGTTCAGATAAATGCTCCTTTATTAGGTGGTACATGCAGCTTGAAACAAAACATTGCTAAAACTAAAGCCTTGAAAAACTTC